GAACAACAAGCAACATATCTGCCATCACCCCATCTGCCTGTAGACGAGGTACTAACCAATCGCATAACCAAATAGCCCAAATCCTCGTATAAGGAAATACATTTCACATATTAAGTGAGCATACTTGAAGACTGGCTTTGATCAAATTATTTAAAGGAAAAGTTCGTTTAGGCCAGTTTTCTCCTACCCACACAGTAGGTTTATGAACTGACACTTATCAAAAAACAATTACTTCCTTGTTTAATACCACGAAGGGCGTTGGATTACATCCGACAGGTGTCAGTGCAGGATTCTTGACATAAGTAATTCATGCATATGGTTTCGGCGATATAACTGCTGAAATCGATTTTCTGCCTGTGGGCTTGTTCTAATAATTGAAAATCGCTTGCGGCAGTTGTATCACCAAAAGCATGTGCAAGAAATACTTCTATGAAGAATCCTGCACTGACACCTGTCGGATGTAATCCAACGCCCTTCGTGGTATTAGTCAGGGAAGTGGTTAACAATTATTCAGTTTGTACCTACTGTTTAAATCAATATTGGATTAGGAGTTATACTTACGTGAGGTTCAGTGGCTTGTTATCAATCGTGGGCCCTCACTAATAAACATATTTTTGCTGGTTCATACACCAAATATTGATTGTCCAGTTTTTTGCACTCCGTTTAAAACCATTTTGCTCTGATTACTGAGTCTTATGTTTTTCCATTTTTCTGTTGATAGTGATAAATGCAAATCCTTACTACCAAACAGTACATATGACACACGTATTTTTCTAGAGGTTGACTATGCTGTCAAAGCAATTGGAGAAACATGAAGAAAATTGGATAGAGGAAGGACGAGCAATGAAAATACAATATACTACACCTGAAACTCTCAGGCCTGCTGTAGACAAAAATTTTCAGAATAGAAATATCAGAGGCGAAAAGTAGCAGTTGCTAGAGGAAGTGCAAATCAAGAAACCACACCAAAAGAAAGAACCATGCACAGACTAATTATAGTCTACATTTGAACAAGACACAAGTATAAAATAAACATTTTGTCAATCTCACAATAAGAAATTTATAACTACAAAAGGTTTGAAAATCCATTCTTCAAAAGTTCATAAATCTCAGTCGACATCGTTCTCTACTTCCTTTCAAACCTGTGCACCGAGTCTGAATGATGAATCCAATTCTGATTAAAGTTCTATCAGTTATTAATAATAATAATTTTATTCCCGTCAGATCACAATTCAAATGATATTGGAACAGTCAAAAAAAGAGAACACAGCACATGTGTATATAAAATCTTGAATAATAGTAAAAATTAAAAAGTAATTTTCTGATAATTATCACTGGTCATCTACCTAAGAGTATAAAATACATATTTGAAATACATTTAAAGTGCATTCAGGCACCATAGTCACTCACTTCACTCATTGTTGTGGAATTGGCCGCGGTGGTAATGCGCCCGACTCACGATCGGGAGACCGTGGGTTCGATTCCCGCCTCGACCAGATGTTTTTCTCGAGAGAATTTATCTGGTTGAAGCTGAAATGATTCTGCAACCGTGTTAGGAATCACACATTAAAAGGTAAGACCTCGTTAATCCTTAGCTCGCACAAGTTTCTCAACTTTTGAGAGTTGTCGTTCGTATAGGGGCGACAACTGATTAACGGAAAAACATATTTTAAACTGATTTCTTTTTTAAACAGATCAAGAATACCATTTTCAACACCTGTCCAGAAATGTTCAATCCCAAATTTGAAAATATTTTTTAAAAAATGCACTTTTGCAAATTTTGATGTTCTAACCATAACTGAACTTCAATTTCAGCGAATGTGAAATTTTTGCTCCTTTTCAGGTGCTTACAAATGCATTCAAAATAATTTCTCCACAAAATGAATTCATCCCCAAAGCACACTGTTCATTATTGGGAGCTCCTATCTCTGTAGGTACTTTATCATGTTGCCTTACACAGAAAACAGAGTTTTTGATTCAATTGTCATCTCGTATCAATAATCTTCCTTCTCATATAGCATACTTTCTCTGGTCAAACTCTTTGGCGATTTCCAAACTAATATATAATTTGAGATGCAGTCCAACTTAGATGTGTCAAAGAGAATTACAAGAATTCAATTACCTCTCAAGCTTCTCTCCGAGTTAACTCGGTGGCATGATCACTCCATTCTTTCCGAATCTTTGTCTGAAATATCTGATACATATTACTTGTGCGCTGAAAATAAATGGTTATCTCGAACGAAAAAGTGACAGAAAGCCTGGGAGTATCCAATGATTGATTTGGTTTATGATCAACTTCTTGAGTCAGGTGAACCGGTGGCTTCTTTGGGTACTCCCTAAGATGACACGCATCTTTTAGAATTCCAATAGGTCTTCGGTTGTATTCTTCAATTTGTGCTAGTCACAAGTGCAGATGTGGGTCCACTGTAGAAGAAAATGGTTACCATGGCCTACCCTGTAAATTTAGTTCTGGAAGATTTTTCAAGACATCATTCCGTTATTGATCTTATAAAAAGAGCTCTAGCCGTTTCAGAGGTTCCTTCAGTTCTTGAACCCCGTGCTGCAACATCTAATTCCAGTGGTGAGGCTAATATGACTTCAGAAAAATCATAATTTCGGAACTACTCAACTTTGTTGAGTTCCTATTGTTTCTTCCCTGTTGCAATTGAAACCTTTGGTATTTTCCTTATATTCACGGAGATACCGACAAAGTGAGCCGAATTTTGAAGAGGCACGATATAAAAACAGTATTCACAGCTAACAATCAGGTTTTTACTTTTCTAGGAACACCTAAGGATACAATACCCATTGAAACACAGAGCACATACGAAATACCATGTTCCAACTGTTCCAGAACTCACATAGACCAGAATAACAGAAGAGTCTCCAACAGAGCATATCAGCTTGCTGTCTGTAAATCAGATCCAGCCTCGTCCCTCTTCAAACAGGCCAAAAAACAATTGCCATCGAAAAAACTTTCCAAGCCAGAATAATCCCCAAAGCTATTGAAACTAAAAAACGTTCCAAATGTCTCCACAAACGAGATGATTGACAAAGATTACCTCATCCATGGAGATATTACTGTCATGCTATACATCTCGCAACACTGCACACCTCGCTTCTGCAAGTTACATCCCCGTTCCCACTACCAAATCTACTTTTGCTCCCACTACCAGTGGGAGTAACTTCTATGAATGGTCTTTGTAAATAGCTGATTTCGAGATTAATTGGTTTCTTCCTTCTTTCGGAAGTTTTCCACATTTTTTGTATAGAAATGGAGAAAGCCAAACGTTTTTCCCAGAAACTAACCTGTACTGAAAATGCGGCCCTTTCAATTTTAAAGATATTTAAATATTATAGCAACCAATGTAAATATAATTTTAAAACTTGTTACGATTTACTGTAACATACCGTACTTTCATACTTTACATCATCAAGCTTGAAATTTTGTTACATTACCATTGATGTTGGAGAGTGAGAGCCTCAATGAGATGTGTATTTTTTTGTTTCAATAAAGGTACTTCTCTCTCTTCACCCTATTAAAATCTATTCGTTTAATGATAACTTTGAATTATGTGTTAGTGTATAAATATGCGTTTTCTATAAAGGTTCTTTTTAACTAGTATGTCTATTCATGTGTTACTTTTTTCTAATAAATTTTCAGTATAGTATTTGTCATGACACAACTTTGTCTTTATCCGATTCATGTTTACTGACTTTAATTAAATTATTTATTTATATAATTCGATATCATGCATTATATACCTGTTTTGTTTGTTAATGAGAATAATTCTTTAGACAACAAGGCATATTTATTATTAAATTATTAATATCAAAATGTTTTGAGAAAATCTTATGCAAAACTATTTCAATATACCATTCCGTAATATTATGTTGTATAAAAAGTTTTGTTCATTTCTATGAGTCTATTTTAAACTGGCAATACTTATTCAATTTAATTGAAATGAGCGTCATTTGAATCAGTGCACTTTTGCCAACGTAAGAAGTCAAATAATTCCGTCAGCGAGTGTGAATTGTGTGATTGGGATTCGATGAATTCGACAAAGGCCGTTCATAGAGGTCATAGAGGATCCACTTTCCATCACATGTGACGATCTGATCAAAAAAGAATAATTTTGGTTACGCAAAAAAGCAAAGAACAGATCTCGAAATATAACAATTTCTGTCGTTCATTCAAATCGTGGAACACCCAATTTTGGAGCTGTTCGACCTTTCGAATACGTTTCAAACCATCAAAAACCGCATAGGAGCTGACGCCCAGTTCCTCCGCCATCCCACTAGGGTCCTCAAAACTTTGTCCTGGATTACTGTAGGTCGACCACTTCGAGGCTCATCTTCGAGCTTCAAATCTCAGGAATTAAATTTCGCAAACCAACGTCGAACAGTAGGTTCATCAACACTGTCATTGCCAAATGCCTGGTTGATTTTTCGGGCTGTTTCGGCAGCGCTTTGGTTCAATTTGAATTCGTAGAGCCAAAAATAGCTTAACGACATCAATATAGTAATGAGTTGGAAAAAGGTAAAAATTAAAATTTGGAAAGAATGTACAGTATCAATATATAGAGTACAAAATTCTCTATCGATCAGTATGTGCTACGACACACTAGAATAAATATTTATTGAGATATGGAAGTACAAAAACACATGACATTAAAACACTTTTGAAACAACTTAATACTTGAAAGGAATCAACCAAATATTTTTGAAAAATTGAAGTTGAGAATATATGAATGAATATCTTTACACAAAAAATAGCACAGGCACTTTCAAAAGTGTATGAAAATTGGTGACAATGAAGTAGGTTATTTGGAAGAAAATGAAAGAGTGAGCTTTATATGTTATATATTTCATTTCAACAATCATTTGTATTAATTATTGAATAACAATACCAATAATCGACTAAGAATGAAATAGCAATTTTATTGAATTTATTGTGTATGCAAAGTAAGTGTTGTTAGTTCATTTCAATATGTATTTATTCAGAATCATTCTCTTGTATATCATTATCGAAAATTATTCAACAACCTGCATACAGCGAATTACTTGGAATTTTGTGTGAGAATCAAAAATCATTTTAAAAAGTGACAATGAATGTTCATAAATTAGGCACTTCCCTGTAAAATATGTCTCACCAAATACTTTCATTTGAATTGGCGAATACTTATATTTGGCATGCTGGCAAATCCAACATACCCTTTAAAAAAATAACGTTACTAAATAAAATATAGTTTTCACTATTTAGAACTGGGATAAACGTAACAAAAGATACAATTTCATAAATGCACTTATAAAACTAAAATAAGATCAATTACTATAAATTCAACCACAGTGGTCTATTTTGAATAGTAGTGGTTTCAATAAAAAAACAATGTTTCATTCAAGACTTATTAGCAGACATTTTTTTACGACGTTTGTTTAAAAGGGGATTGTTAGAGTTTTCCAAAGTTTTAATTTGTACTTGGTCGTAGTCTACTCTCATTGTTGCCAATGATCGTGTCATCTCTTCTTGTACCTCAGGCCATACTTCGACATTCTCCTTCAGCAATTTCTTGGTGTGTAACGGTGTTTGGGGGACAGCAGTATATTGCTGAAAAGAATACCTTAGTTTAGCTGATTCATCACATGTATATTTCAATGACTTAGCTTTACCTTTTTTTAAATATAAAAACCGAAATATCTATTCAAATATACCAATGCACTGACATTATGATTTACATGTCTCAATAATGCCAATTGATATTTTCATGTTCATGTAAGTCGATAATACTAAAGGAAGAAGATACAGTTGTCAGTGACTAATTGATGGTTCCATCAACCCTGTCGTTAAACCCTGTGTAACAAACCGGATATTATACAGGAGTATTGTAAGGTATAACTACCACAGAAGAAACTTTTCGCGCAAATACAAAAACAAAAACCCTTTTTTTTTGATGAAGAAATGGGAACCGAGTGATATTTCACTGAAATGGACTTTCCATTTCATTTCCATTGTTGGTTTGCTTTTGAAAATCGGTTCAGTCGTTTAGAAAATACGGAGTTCTTAAATGCTAATATGTTTTCCGAAAAATGCAAAAATTGAACGGAATTTTCTTTAAAATGTTGGAAATGTACATCACCCTCTATACAATAATATAAGTTATTTTTCAAACAGTCTTTCATTAAAATGTCTCAATTGAGACACTCCCGAGGAAGCCATTGTATGGCGAAACGCGTGTTGCGTTTTTGTAAAACTGTCTAGTGAAAATCACACAATAAAGTATTTTTAGAATACGTTAGTTATGGATTTTCATCAAGTATCGGCCGATTCCATCATATAAACAGTTTTGAATACTTTGGAGCACTAAAAGTGTTTCTTTCACATTCATTGATTTCAGCTATCTTGATCAGACTTCCCCTACCCACAACAACGATGGTAAAGGATTCATTGATATACAATGGAATGATGACGTACAATAGAATTTTCATGCACCTGAAGAGTTACTCTTTGACTATTTCAGGAAAAATTCCTGCGACATTTCAATTGATAAAGCCTATTATGAAGTGGATGAATTTTACGATGACCAGTCATTTTATGAATTTATGGTTTACTTATAGTATCTCGTTTTCGAGTCATTTTCAAGAAATTGATGTGACTTGACGCAGGAACCTGCATCTGCCTACTCTCCAGGTCTCGTCACGAGTTATTTCCTTAGGAGTGGGCAGATTGAGGCCCCGGCGTCGTCACATCAATTTCTTGAAAATGACTACAAAATCGGAGCCGAAACATCGAACACAAAACTCCAGACGCGGTTCAATTCGAACTCAACGACAACATACTACTGACCGCATAAACATATCCGAACCTATATATACGTTAGTTTTGGAGATGTTACAAGTGAAGCAGTCATCCTGAAGCCAGATTGATCAACAAAAACTTAATTATTTCTAGTAAAGTGCTTTAAAAGTCGTTAGTAGACTACCATCTCCAAGAGTTTTTCAGCACTAGGTAAAGTATTGATTGGTCTGAATTCAGAGCATTAAATTGTATTAACAACTTTTTCTTTTGGCGTTATTATGATTGTTTTTAATGCTTTTGGAAACATAAAGTTTCTAATGATGCATTCATAAGATGGCACCAGATTAGCTACTTTTTATGATTTCATTACATAAAATATCAATTTGAAAACCATGTTTCCTAAGTTTCTCACTATTTGTACCAAAATATATTCATCACCTCGAACCTACAAAAATTTTACTGGGCTATTCTATAGTAATAGTCGAGTTGGGAATACTATCAACTATTTCATGAATACTATCCAGAAAATATCTGTTAAAATGTTCAGCTATTTTTCTATCATCTATAACAAAAACATTACATTTATGATTTTCAATCTATATAGCTTTAGAAAAGTCATTATTGAATGTTTTGGGATTAATTAATTTTTTCAGTTTTCCACATCAAACGTTGATTTCAATTATTGTCAATTTGATCGAAATAAAACTTTTTTTTTTTAGTTTCATGCTGTTTACAACTACATTCATTTTTTCTTCATTTTGCCAATTTATGTCATTTTGGTTACTCTTGAATATTTTGATGACTTAATTGCCTTATTATATCACCGTTATTCATTCTCATAACAAAAGATGTTTGCTTTTTATTTGTTTTATAGGAGCCTTGATATTGACTAGATTTTATATACAGATGTGGAAAATAAATATCGGAACATACGAGTCCCAATACATTCTGGACGGGTCCACGATAGTAGTCGACCAGTTTTAAATTCCGTCCTTTTCCTGCACTGTTTTCGAGCATCTGATATTGATATGTTACCGTGAGTTCATAAGGATTGAAAATAAAATACTTTCTTGCGAACTCTAAAATGTTCACGTTCTCAAAGGAAGAAAAAAAACACAAATTAAGTAAAAAAAAAATAAAGAAATTTTTTCCGACAACCATATCAGACGAATGGAATTTTGTGAAACCATGATGGAAAACAAAATGAAAATGATTCGTTTTTGAAAAACGTATTATTTACAAATCAAATGTGTCATCATTTTCTTTACGTAGGAAACATTATCTATCCATTGAACCATTGGATATTGGTCTCGGAAAAATCTGCATCTGAGAATTCCTGTGCGTACTCAGTACCTTCACCGGAATGTTAGGAGACCATATCATAGCTTCCTTCTTTATCGATGGTAACCCGTATACTGTCAAATACCTATAGCTACTACAAAATCAAATTATTCTAACAGTTCATCTACTTCCTATTAGTTTTGGGAACATTTGGTTTTAACAGAATGGTTGTTCCAGTCACATTGTATGACCAATACGTTTCCTGGTCGATTGGTATCTACATTTGGTACGGTTAAGAGACCTCCCAGATAACCAGATTAATCTCCGAATTATTATCTCTGTATCAGAGATTTGGCTATTGTTTGGCACAAAAAGGTGGTTTATTTGAACCTTAATTACATTTGGTTTAAAGTTGTTTGAGTTTTACAAAACATTTTCAGTTTATTTTTCAATTCGAAGCATGTATTTTATTTTCAAAACCGTTATAGAAAAAAGGAAATACAGCACCTAAGCACAGTTTTCGCAGCAAATAATTTCTCACATATAATGGAACTTCGGCGTCGCAAAGTATCTTCCTTATTGTCAGACATACACATATCCTCTCTAACATTTTTATACTGATGAATTGATTGCCGTGAGTGCGGTATAGCGGTCACACGCATATGGTGAGTAGGGGTACATCAACATAGTGTAGTAGATCTTGCCCTAACTCAGACAGACTGTGACGTCATCACACCAGCCAGGTTGCCTCTCAGCTCGCCAGAAAGGGCACCAAATTGTCACGTGGTGTCCTGTCACCCAGCTAGTTATGACAGAGTCGGAAGTGGCTTATCAGTGTAGTGGCGTTGACGTTTGAGAGATAACGAGTTGGGTGCGCTTGGAATGATGAGAACAAAATTGGGTATACAGGGTATACATGATCGCCATGAGATTATTTGAAAGATATTGTGTTGTAAAATGAAATAAATGCTGATGAAAATGAACGAAGTTCGTTCCAAAATTTCTGAATTTTTATAAAAAAACCGTCGCATGAGCATCGCTCAGGAATTGCTGAATAATATCAACGAATTGTGGAATTTAAGGTCGTGGGTTCGATTCCCGCCTCGACCAGATATTTTTCTCGAGAGAATTTATCTGGTTGAAGCTGGGATGATTCTGCAACCGTGTTAGGAAACACACGTTAACAGGTAAGACCTCGTTAGTCCCTAGCTCGCACAAGTTTCTCAAATTCTGAGAGTTATCGTTCGTAGGGGGGCGACAGCTGATTAACGGAAAAACATATTTTAAAACAATCCAAATGTGCTTGAAAAGATCATAACTGGTGACGAATCATGGGTATATAGTTAAAAAAGCCCAGGAAAGCCACATCTGTTTATTATCAACATTAGTAATAAATATTACACATATAATTGCAACTAATCCAATTTCAATTTATATCCTGCACATTGTGAGTGGGAGTACATCAACATAGTGGTTCAATCGAATGGTTGATATTCCATCGCAAACAAATCTCTATTTAAATTGAACTGGTCAACTGCTATCGCGCACCCCGTCCAGAATGCATCGGGAATCGTATGCTCCGATATTTGTTTTCCACATCTGTTTATGATCAACATTAGTAATAAATATTACACATATAATTCCAATTATATATAATTTCAATTGATCTTATTTTTTCAATTATTTGTATGTTAGATTTTACTCATTGCATATGGAATTTGAAGATATTATAGAATGATCAGTCAGTTTTGGTTCGTCCAGCACATTCGCTCCTATGATCTCAAAGTTAGTTAATACATACTCAATTCAAGTTTTTCCAGAAACTTGTGAAATATCTTCTCCAAAATTTAAAACCTTTGTATGGAAAAAGAAACAGTTTTATAAAGAATCCTTCTAATTTCATTGAAAAACTTAACGAATTACTACGAGTGTTTATCGAAAGAAAACTCATACTAATAGATATATTTTATATTAAGCAGTAATATATTGATTTAGCTTCGTTTATTTTTCAGATTGTGGAAGGTTATATACCCAAAAAAACAGTAAGAAGTATTGTAATTCTTGTATAGGTACTAACATATTGCTTAATACCATGTGAAGAAAATACATGTATAATTTTTTACATGGAAAATATATTATTTAAAATTTAACTTGAAGTTTCTAGGTTCGGACTCAATATTTTGAAATATGCTTTTTGCTGTATTCTTCACGTTTTCAATTCCGTCCCACTTATTTTGTAATATAGACTCATTTACGTTGTGAATGATCAAATTACTGGACCTTTTTTTTTTCTTCCAGTTCATTTTTTCATTACTTGTTTCTATTTGTTCCACTGTGTCATTTCTGTTTTCATTTCTGAATGTCTGCTTCCAACAATGACATTTTTTTTAACAACTGTGGTGTCTGTATGAAAACATTCAAACAATCAACACAGAAAAATATAACACTGCGTATTCCTTTCAAATTAACTATTCTTGCCTCTGTAGAAGAAAAAGTTGCGCACATTTTTTGGTATAGTGCCAGAAACTGCG